GTTCATATGAACTTTTTTACTTAGTTTTGATCATAGAATGGGCCTGTTCAGGGTTGACAGCTAATTAAGTCGGCGTTACTCATGGGCGTAGCTACAATTTTTGTTTGGGGTGGGCTCAGGGCTGCAAGCTCTATTATGGAGGCTTCCAAAAAAAAAGTTACGTAGTCATCGATACCGATATGACAAAGCTGATATTAGATCTTTTTTCTGGGGTGGGCACCGGGCTCTCTGGAATGGGCCGTGCACACCCTGCTCCTCCCTAACTACGCCCATAGTAGTGTTACGCATGCTTAGCTTGCAAATTCCCCAAGTCACGTAACATGCTGTGTAGTCTCTATGTAACGTGCGACTAATTTTATCTCATTTTACAACTTGGCCCCCAATCTCTCTCTCTCTCTCGCTCTCTCTCTTTCTCTACATTCATAGTGTATTGTCAATCTAGTCTATGTATTGACCATTCCATGTGTGATAAACGATAAACCATTCTAACCTATAAAACTGATTTGACATCGTCATTTTTAAACTTTAAACAACTGTTAACTATGGTAAACATTAAATCAGGATCATTTAAGCCACCAACATCGCCAAAAATATCGGCGCGCGAACACTAAACACTATAATTTGAGAATCTGTAAGAACAACTTTTAGTGAAATTTGTAAGTGGTGATTCTGGTAAATAGTATGGGAAGGTGCGTAATTGATGGATGTCGAAGCAACTCTAGAAATAATGAAGGAGTGTCGTTTCACAGGTACTTTTCTTATTAAATTAAGTTTTGAAACCATTCCCTATTTTTGTTCATTTTTGTATTTATAAACCTTCAGAATAAGCTCTCTATCAAGAAAGAAAGAAATGGATAAAACATAGGTCCTTAATGAGAAAGATAGTTATACATTGCATTATTGCCAAGTATCTGGAAGAACGGACTCTACTTGTACCTTTTCAGTGCCAGTAGTAATTAAAGAGGCTTTTTTTCGCGAGTGAAGTTGTATGTTGTAGTATGTGTAATATGAGCGAATGAAAAGATTTAAACTACCATATGACAACTAAGATCAAAAGAGATAGAAATATAGTAACTACAGGTCAGATATTCACCAATATTCATTGCGAAAAAAAGCCTAATGATATGGATGTTTTGTCTCCAACTAAGAAGTATGCGATAATAGCTTTCTATTTTTATATGTACTGTTCTGTGTATTGATATCCAGAAGTGGCCAGTACTATATATTTTTTATAAAATTCGATTTTGAAAAATATTCTTTGTCCAAATGTTTATGGCTTTTGTCACCATAAGCATGTAGTGAGACTGTTGAGATTAGTTCATTAGAAATATTTTCATATTGTTACGATGAAAATAATGTACCTAAATAAAAAATATTACAGACTATTTCAAAATAAATTAATAACAAATCTAAACAATTAAAATGGATATTGAGGAAAAATAAAATGCTGAACATACCTACCTAGTTTTTGTGGATAATTACTGTTTTTTTAATTTCATATTAAAACTACTGCAATAACGCACCTGGAAGAACTTTTGAGGATAATCAAATAAATAGGCAAAAAAAAACTTCTATTGTATTTAGTGATTTGTACCTGTCATGTCGTTGTTAATTAATTAATATGTTTTTTAAGATGGCAATAGTTCATTTACTTTAACAATAAAGTCATTTACCTATATCCATTTCCACACTGCGAAATATACAAAATTGCTATTTCAGATTTCCTACAGACATAACAAAAAGAGAAAAGTGGTTGCAGAGCTTGAATCTTAAAGATTGGGTTCCGCCATTAAGTGCTAGAATTTGTAGCAAACATTTCAACAGAAAATATTTTTATACAACTGATTCAAGGATAAAATTATTGCATAAAGCTATACCCACTCTGGCACCACAGATACCCATTAATTTACCTCAGAAGATGGTGAGTAGTTATATTGTAGATAATTATTGAGTAAGTATACTCGCAACAGGGTGGTTCGAATTTTATTCATTAAACTTTAGGATTTCAGATAATTAAAAAATCATGACATCACATACTATATTAAAAATTAACAAAATGCTTTTTACAGTAAAAGTGCATTTTTTACATGTATGTAATTCAATTATTGCTATCAGCTTTGTTAAAAAGGAATCAGATTAAATAAATACACCATACACAATAGCTAATAACTAACAAATACAAAAATTATTATTTTGTTTTTTTTTTACAAAAAAGTTTTCTTTAGTTGTTTGTTTTTCGTGAATATGTCCTTAAATAATATATATTTATAAAAAAAATATGGTCAATACATAACTGCATTTGAGAGAAATTACGTGGATTAGCCACAATGTAATAACATCAAAATGGTGTGACTTAAGTCCAAATTGTAAAACCAATATGGTTTACCGAACATTAACAAGTGGACATTTCTTGCCTAGTATGGAAAAGTGTATATACAGAGCCTTCATAAATGATACAAGCCACGTGACCAGTAATTTTGTTTGGAACAGTAATTTTATTTCCTTCATGTCGGCAATTAAATTTCGGTAAAAATTAAAAATTATTATAACAATAAGATTAAGATCACATTGAGACGCAACATTCTGTTTCATGAGCTGTGATTGGTGCAATTTTTCACGAGATACTATTCAACCAATCAGCGATTGCATTATCACGAGTGTAGGCGGTTTGCTATTATTTGTTGTAAACGAGTGATTAATATTGGTGATGCCAAGATTTAGGAAATTTTCATTAATCAGTACCAATCGTGCAATGTTGGGTTGCCTAAGCTTGGCGTCACATGGCTTATAAACATTTATGAAGCCACTGTATAAGAAGAAAATCATATTAAAAACCTGAAAGTATCCATGGCCTATTAAAAGTCCCGTGAGTGTTCTACCGCAAACCAGATCTGCCCAATCATGCTTCCGTTGATCACTCTTTGATCAAACTATCAATGGATTTTGTTAGGGATTATTGTGGTACAGCTTAATATGATTATCTCGCCCCAACAAGGAAAGGGCCTTAAATAAATCTAGAACCGCACGGAAAGTGATTGTGTGGTACAAATGTGTTTATAAAGCTGCTTGATTATCTCTATATATTTAAATATGCTGATTCACATACCTCTTGATATTTTGTTGTGTACAAGCAAAGGTTAGAAATTCTTGGGTCAAAGACTGTGGCATACTTTACAAGAAGATAAAATAAAATCAACTCTAGTCGCACGCCATAGATACTACCTCTGAGCTATCTTTTGGGATGTTGTTATAACTGAATCCCATTGTAACTGAGATTCTCTATGTTGTGGTTCAAAAAACGGACACCCTATATACAAGAATTTATACAAGTATTTCAGTTTTTGTCTTAAGATACAATAATACTTATGAACTAGAATCATTCAGGTAAACCGGCAGGTGACCTTGTGTAACACTTCATTTATTTAAGACCAGAAATTAAAGTTATGAATGAAGTTTATTCTCTTAGAATTAATACAATCTTTACTACTTTGTGACAAGATGTCTACTATAGTGCAATAGTACATTGTGTAACGAGTGGGGAAAAGTTGCCAATAGCGCCACGAGGACGCAGTTGACGCACGAGCGAAGCGAGTGCGGAAAGCGCCCAAGTGGCGCTATGGCAACTTTTCCGAACGAGTTGCACATACTATTTTCTATCANAGACCTGGTGCCAGCTCCGGATGGCGGCAGCCCGGTGGCAGCCTGGAGTGACCTTGAAGTGGCTTCATTCTCTCCTAGAACAACTACTGACGTAAAATAAATGGATTAAAAAAACAATGTTTTCTGTAAAATCAAATAATAAATAATTTGTATCATCGTAAACACGAGTATAAGTCTAAACTAGTATGAATGGTATAGGTATATTAAATCTTATTTATTGTAATGTTGAATTGCAAAATGCATTTATATATTATATTGGATTAAAAATTGATTAGATTCCCTAAGGACCTGAAGATACAGAAATTATGGATAAAGAATATGCAGTTACGAGATTGGGAGCCAACAACGAATTCTAGGGTTTGCAGTAAACATTTTGAGGAAAAGTTGTTTTATAAAACAGATCAGAAGATAAAATTACTGAAGCAGGCAGTACCTACTTTGTTTTCTCAGTTGCCCAGAGATTTATGGAGGAAGATAAATGTAAGTATATATTGCATGTAAAATAGGTAGGTAGTTATAGTTTTTTCTTTCACTCATATTCTTATACGTGTATAAAAAATAAAGTTACATTGTAGGTATATTAAAAAAAATAAATATGCTCTTCTAGTTTGGGAATGTGGCAACTTTTATCAAGAATTTCTTTCTTTTTGAGAAGCCACTGAAAAAAGTTTCTAATATGGATTACGAATTTTGCCATTCATCGTACACATAAAAATGTCACAAAACAATATCAGCATTTTAAAATGTTCAAATACGCTTTTGCAATGGAAATTTTCTAATGTTGAGACCATCGTGAATATGGTAACATTGACGAACTGATAATTAGAAAAAGTTAGTTATGATTATGAATCTTGAAATGGTACATGAAAAACAAATAACATTACTGAAAAATAATATAAAGTTATAATTTCTTCTACGCATGGCCAATATTACAACTATCCTTTTAATAATAATAAATTATACAACAGAAATAAGGATACAAAATGATATCTTGACAAAACAAATATCTGTAGGTATACCTAAACTCTTTTATTTAAGCATGCCTATACACATAAACAAATATAAACATTTGTACAAAATATAAAATAAATGACATCTATTTCACTGGTTTCATCCATATTTCAAATAATTCTCACTGACTAAGTAGTTGCTCTTCAAATTATATCGAAACGTATAGTTCCATGTCCAATTTTCTTAGTTCTTGTCCCTTGTCCGCTTGTCTATAATAGGTATAGTGGGTATAACTATGTTTAGGTAGACGTGACGCAAAATTGGAAATCTCTTTACACATATCGTTTTCAACATTTTGCATCAATATTCATTATTTTATATGCACCTTACAATAACCACAACTGCACACACTACAAATTATCACATAAAATAGCGTCAAAATAAAGATGGAGAACAACGAAGCCAGGCAAACTGGCAAACCGCAAACCTAACATAATACGAAATGAAAACGACATACGGGAAACAAATAAACTCGGACTGTTACGCGCAGTCTACGCAAGTCACGAGCATATTTTTGAGACTTGTGTTATAATTATAAATATACTACCACAATTTTTTTTCTGTTTATGTCTGTTTATATAACAAAGGCAAATGAACTAACGCTTGAGAGGGATTGGGGATTTTGAGCAAAATTTAGCTATTGCCGAATGTTCCATAAGACAAGCAAAAAAAGCAAAGGGTTGTTCGTCTGTTATGTTTCCGAGATCGAAAGGGAATGTTTCGAGTAATGTTTCAAACTTTCTTCAATTGTAACGTTTCGGCTATGTTTCACTAAATAAGTTTTCAAGTGCTACATTTCTGTAATGAAACAGAAACGTTTCTAGTTAATGTTTCAAATGTTTAGTAAAACATCTCATTTGCAACGTTTCATTTACGTTTCGTGTTTAGTGGGT